CCAGAGAAAGAAGGGAGCGTGGTGATCTCATCGAGGTTTTTAAAATTTATTTATCACACTTCCTTCTTCAAGTTAGCATCCGAATCCGGTCCAAACATAACTATAAGGGTTATCTTACCAATTAAGCAAGCCGAGATGGGAGTCAAATAAAAGAAGCAATTTATTGATTCTAGAGCTAGTAATAAACTGTCTCTTATACACATCTAGATGTGTATAAGAGACAGTATATATATACATAAATTTGCCTCTAATAGCAATGAATCGGCGTAGTGCGTCTATGAAGGATGGCGCGCTGAGATCTTCTACGACCCCAAAATGAATAGCCCTTGAAGATAGGCAAGTGAATAACACTCCCCAGCGTTTGCTTTGCGCAACACCACCTTAGTTCTCCTAGTGGAAACTTGTTGCCAGGGACCGAAGCAGTCTGCACCAACTTGGCTAAATGGAGGCCCTGGTGATAGGCGCTCCTCTGGAAGGTTTGGCATACGCTGAAAACTCAGCTTGCCTCTTAGTTTACGACAAACGACACATTCATGTATGACAGAGGACACTAGCCTTTTACAGCCTGTTATCCAGTAACCGGCGTCTCTTATGGCACCTTCGGTAAAGTGTTTACCTAGATGACATACTTTGGTGTGCTAATGAAGAACACTTAGCTTTGCAACATGAATTTTCCCTGGTATCAATACCGGGTGTTTTTTTTAATAAGAGGAGGTCAGACTAATCTTCCTCCCACGCTCATCATACCGTCATTGTTCAACATTGGTGACAATGCGATCACCGAGCTCTTACTCTGGATAGGCTTCCTCTCTTTTAAACATCTCATCTCTTTATCATACACCTGTTGTTGCAGTTCTTTGATAACAAAGATTTCAGCTTGCTTATATCTTTCTATGGATTTATGCTGTGTGTATCAATGCCCCAAGAGCATAATGGCATTTGCCCTTCTGTTCTAAAAGATCATGCTTGATGTTTCAAATATGCAAAAGCTCATGTCAAGCTTGACCATGATAAAAAGCGTTTGAGTTTCTCTTAACTCAGCATTCGCGTTTGCATACTACTGTCTTAATTACAGTCACATTTTCTTCCTGATTTCCTTATCATTGCCAGGGTCAATGAGAGGAAACTTTACTTGTTCTACTTCATTAATAAAATGCAAATGCTGGGGACCAGTAAGCCAAGTGAAAGTCTGCATTCTCAAAGGATCAATATATCTAGTGCCGTGATCTGCAGGATTATGACCTGTCAATATGTGGTGCCATTGGTGCGTTTCGCATAACGATAATATCGGCTCAACTCTGTTGGCTACCTAAGTATGAAATCTCCTTGTGTTGTTGTTAAGGTAACCCAGAACTATCCTACTGTCGAAATAGAAAGTGATACTGTTTGGGGGAAAGTTTAGCTCTCTGGGGTCACTACTTTGGCTAATTATGTGGCAAGCACAGCAGAACAGGTCTAGACAGGGAATGGTATGACCTTGTCTAGGAGCTATGCGTGACTTCCCTATTATAAATCCAACTTCGGTTGCCTTAATACTGTTTGTCTTTAAGAACGCCACCACTGCAACAGCCTGCTTCAAGGCGTCACAATACACATGTACATGTCTCTTCTTTTAATTTTGAGAAGTTCATAGTATACGCAATAACTCCAACTTCCGTAGACTTGCTTTTCGTGACTCTCATTCATATTTAACGTGTGCAGGCAGTGAATAATCCCAATCTGTTACTGAACAGGAATCTTCCATGCAACAAAACCAGAGAAACAAATCCTAAGGGGTCGTATATACTA